ACTGGCACAGCACAAGTGCTGTGGTGTGAATGTGCGTGCGGTGTGTTGGAACCACAGAGGGTTCAAGTTGCCTCATCCACAGCAGCGTCACTCTGCTTCCACTGACCGTGAGAAACAGCTGCAGTCGGTGGATTGCGTGCCAGCCCTAAGGGGGCACCGGGTCATCTCATGTAACAGGGAGAGGGAAAGCGAGGGTCAGCGGTTGAGAAACTTGCCAGTTGTTCCCAGCTAGGAACGAACAGGACTCGTTGGTGAGGTTCTAGAGCCTTCCAACTACGTAAACAAGTGCAGGCGCAGGCTAGGGAGAGCCCTGTCTGTCCTTCCTGTGGCAGCTCCACCTCCGGCCACTTCTGAGGCTGTCGTGTGATGCCGCCTGGCTTCCGGGTCACCTCTCTCAGGTTCCGTATGGCTTAACGACAGAAAGAGTACATGCCACTCTTCCCTCCCTGTGACACCCGGGAGGTACAGTTTTGAATTTCAGTTGCTACTGTGACTCCCCGTGGGAACGGCCTGTCAGTCAGAGGCCCTGCCAGGCTCAGCCTGTGCTCCCTATGCCTTTTTGGCTCTTGAGGTGGTAGTATATCTGAGGTCTTTGTTTTTAATCATAATATTTCACATTTTTCTTCCCACGGCGATCAGCGTGAGCTAGCTGGTGGTGGTAGAAAGCCTCCCTTTAATTTCCACTGTGGATTATTAGTTCACTTAAAGTGCTGTTTAAATTATACACAAGCCCCGAGGCTTTTGATTATTGTTGGAAATCAATTGGACTTTGCAAAATGCCCAACAAATTGGACTGTTAATATCCCATACACACTGTGGCACTATTAGCGGGACCAAAGTTCAGAAATTAAAGTGTGCCAGGTTCTATAGTCCTGTACGCACGCAGTTCATTTCTCTTCAGGAAAATCAACCTATTTTCTTTTCATGCAATTAAAAAAAAAGTCTTCTTTAAATTATGCGATGGCTATTCTTGGTTGTCAATGTGGAATTAAAACACAAATGGCTAGGTACATCTGTTGAGGGTGTTTTGTTTTGTTGGTTTATCTAGACAGGATTTCTGTTGCGTAGCCTTGGCTATTCTAGAACTTCTCTGTAGACCAGGCTGGCCTCAAAGAGCTCCAGCCTGCCTTTGCTACCGCTACCCCCCAAATGCTGGTGTTAAAAGCTGGTACTACCACCATCCTTCTGGGGATTTTTCTTAATTTATTTGAAATCTGGATCTTTGAGGTAGGAAGATCCACCTTTATTTGGGGCCCACACCTGCTGGAAGCCTACAGAATGTGGGAGAAGAAAGATTTTGCTCTTTGCCTGCTTACCTCACTGGCAAGTCCATTCCTTCACTGGCCTTAGACTTCTTCAGGATTCACACATATGCAGAAGGCCAGCTGAGACCCCCCAGGATTCACACATATGCAGAAGGCCAGCTGAGACCCCCCCAGCCTCTGAACAACTCCTAGACTCTTGGGTAGCCAGCCATGGCTGGGTGAGCCGGACCACCGTCTGTAACCCTCTAATCCCATATCATCAGTTCTGTTCCTCTAGAAAGAACCTTGACTGCTACAAATGGGAAGAAGGACACTGGGTGACTTTTTTTTTTTTTTTTCCGAAGTCTGCTGTTTATCTTTGTTTTCTCTTTGGCCTGTGTTCTTTCTGGTTAGATCCAGAATACCTCTTGCCACTGCTTCACCATTGTTTATTTCGAGAGAGTGGTGTGCACTTGAGTGCAGGTGCAAAACCGATGTCGGAGCCATCCGGGCCCTCTGAAGCTGGAGTTACATACAGGCTGCTGTCTGACGTGGGTGCTGGGAGCTAACCCAGCCAGAGCAGTGCCTTCCCCTAGCTGCCGAGCCATCTCTCCACCCCACCCCCTTTCACCACCGCTCTTGCCTCCTGTTCCTTCTAGGTCTTTCTAGCATGTCCTGGATGAGTTGAATATGGCACTGTTTCTAATACTTTCTGCCTACCTGCTCCTCCCTCCCCCACCACCCCAGAAGTCCTTTCTTTAGGATGCCTGTGAAATTGCTAAAGAGCAATGATGGAAGTTGTGATGGGGCACGTCTTTAATCCCGGTGCTCTGGAAGCAGAGCCCTTTAGCTCTCTGTGAGTTCAAGGCCAGCCTGAGACCCTGTCTCAAAACCAAGTAGCCCAGTCGTCCTAGGGTTTTCCAGTACCATGCAGCATGGGCCATTGCTTACTTACGTCATAGCTCAGTCATGGTGAGGTGTATCACATGGGTTCATGTTTGTGACCTCACCAACATTTAACAGATGCTGAAGATGCTTACTCTGTAGAAGGAGCTGTGAATTCGGTGTTTGGATTCAGGACATAGCCAGGAACCTCTGCCTGTGTTCTTTTTTTTAGGCTTCCTACAAAGGAGAAGTGAGAAAAAAAATAATTCTTGCTCCAGGGAAATGCATACTTGAGAAGCTGTCTGCTTGCTTACGAAAACACACTGTATGGCCTCTATAAAGCAGAGAGTTTGCCGGGCCCATTGCTTTCCTTTTATTCCTTGGTGTTTGTGTAAGACCCCTGGGTTCAGTGCTGCTCATCCTGGCCACTGGGCAGCCAAGACCGTGGACTTGAGGCATTTGGCTTAGACAGCTGGGCACAGCGCTACCTGCTTCTAATCCCAGCTGTATGGAAGTAAGGGCAAGAGGTTCCAGTCCTGCCGCGGTTAAAAGAAAGAAAGAAAAACACAAACCATGCCCAGCATGGTGGTGTACATCTTTTCGTTTGTTTGTTTTTCGAGACAGGGTTTCTCTGTGTAGCCTTTCGTTGTCCTGGATTTACTTTGTAGACCAGGCTGGCCTCAAACTCACAGCGAGCCTCTGTCTTTCAGAGTGCTGGGATTACAGGTGTGAGCCATCACGCCCAGCGGCAGTGGAGCAATACATCTTTAATCCCAGCAGGACAGGGATACTGAGGATATTGAGGATATGTCAGGTAACCCAGTGGAGGGGCAGGGAGATGGTAACTCTTTTAGCCTTTGGGAACACATCTGTACCTGTTGTGGCTGCGCCCAACTCCGAGACGCAGCCCGGGGTATCCTTTCCTACCTCTGTCCGCTGCCAGCATTTCTGTGTTGTTGTTGATATAACCCAGTTCCTCATCTCGAACAGATGAGAGGCTGAGCAGGGAAGACGTCGTGCCCTGGCCCCTGTGGGTTTGAACCGCAGTCCCTTCAGAAATCAGACAGGTCGCATGAGAGATGGGTGTTGGACACAAAGCCCACTTGGCCCAAGGATGCCCTGAAGAGACAGGCGTAAGGGGCGGTGGCCGCTCTTGTCTACATAGCGCCGGGCGTTGGTATTCTCCACTCAAAGGTGGAGGCCCCAGACGCGATGGCCACGGCCAGAGGGGTGACTGGCAGGTGGGGTCAGCCCCCCATGGAAGGCTTGGTTCTAGTGGATTTAGAGGAAGAACATTATGATTTGCAGGTCTCCTCTTGAGTTCAGATGGGTCCCAGACAGGCCAGCGAGGAAGAGCTTATTTTATTTGTTTCCCTCCTCCACGTCTCTAAAGAATTTGATCTTCAAAGCAGGATGCGGGTGTTAATTAACACTCTCCTGCTCTCCTGAGAAGGCAGGCAAGTGGGAACGCCTCCCCGTGAAGGCTGCGGAATAGACAGGTACCAGGGCCTCAGGTAAGGGAAGCGTTAGAGTCATTCATTCATACGGCTCCATTGGCAGCTCCTCTCCCTCTCCCGCATCTTAGCATCCTGTGTTCCCAGTTGAACAGGAAAGCTGGCACCACGTGGTAGCAGAATCTTCTACGGGAAGTAATGAGGGAGATGTGAGAATTGCGAAGAAATTGTAGTGAAATTCATGGTCATTAATATTTTTCCTTTTCCTTTTCTTTTTTCCTCTTTATCTCTCTCTTTTGAGACATGGTTTCTCTGTGTAGTCTTCGCTGTCCTGGGACTCTCTTTGTAGACCAGACTGACCTCAAACTCATGGAGATCTGCCTCCTTATATGCTGGGATTAAAGGTGTACGCCAACATGATTCTTCAAATGTAAGAATGTTATGCCTTTGATTTTTTTTTTTTTTTTTTTTTTTTTACTTGCCTTTTAAGATACATATACAAATCCCAGCACTTGGGGAGGCAGTGGCAGGCAGATCTCTGAGTTCAAGTTCGGCCTGGATCTATCTACAAAGTGAGTCCAGGACAGCTAGGGCCACACAGAGAAACCCTGTCTTGAATAAAACCAATAAATAGCCAGTCATGGTGTCACTTGCCTGTAATCCCCAGCACTCAGGGAGGCAAGAGGCAGGCTGATTTTCTGAGTTCGAGGCCAGCCTGGTCTGCAGATTGAGTCAAGGACAGCCAAGGCTTCACAGAGAAACCCTGTTTCAGAAAAAACAAACAAACAAAAACCAACCAAATAGATGGATAAGACACACACACACACACACACACACACACACACACACACACACACACTCTCTTGGCCATCTTGTCTGGGCAAAGTGTTGCAAAGAGAGTCACTCGTCAAACAAGTTGGCCACCCTCCTTGGGGGCTTTACACAGTGGGGCTGCTGTGCAGTTTGGTCCTGTGCAGCTGGTGACTTCAAGTGCTGGCATACTCCTGGCATACCTCCTGAAGATGGACGAGCTACAGACCGGGCTGTTGGATGTGGTGAATAGCTACCGAGTCAGGAGTGACAGGATTTCTTGAAGGTCTTCTCCCCGGGGGCTGCACAGAGCCCAGTCCTGGCCTTTGTTTGGGGATGGTGATGATGCCAGTTTGCTGGGCGCCTGTGTAACTCTTGAAACAACTGTGCTAATACTGGGCCTCCAGCTGTCTAACAATGCAGTTTACCTGGAGTGGGCACAGTGTGAGGGAAGAGAGAAGACAGTCATTTATGTGGCCAGGGTCTGTTGCTCCCTCTCAGGGCTATACTTGTACTCATCTCTCAGGAAGCTTTGCTCCATCTGCTGATGGCTTTTCCCTTTGCCTCAGGCTGTTGAGAACCAGCTCCAGACATCTGCTAGAGAGTCCTTCCTCTGTCGACGGCGCCAGTGTGTGGAGCCTGCCGCACACCCACCCCCTGCCAAACCACGGCCTTTACCTGTGTCTTTCGGTGTTTCCCGTGCGACCCGTCCTGTGGGAGCGCCTCGTGGGCCGCCCCAGACTTCACCCCACGCTCAGCAGCACCAATGGTGAAGATGACGAGATCCAAGACTTTTCAGGCATACCTGCCCTCGTGCCACCGGACCTACAGCTGCATTCACTGCAGAGCTCACTTGGCCAATCATGACGAACTCATTTCCAAGGTACCTGTTTCCTGGAAAACCTTTCTTGTCTGCTACTAAAGGAGGGCATAAACAGTACTCTCATAGTCTGGGATATTTGCATGCTGTCTTTTATAAGGAAGGACTGGCCCACAGGCTGTCCACTCAGCTTGAAAATCAACTCTGAATTGTGGGGACAGGGTAGTGGTTCAGTGTGTTATTTTGGACGTTAGGTGTCAACCGTGTTGGAGGCTTTGGGGCCTGGCCGCTCAGAGGCCAGACAAGGCAGGAATAAGGAACAATAGTTAGAGCCTTATGTATGCTTATTTGGTTCAGCTTGGTTAGATGAAAAAAAAAATGCTTTCTGCTTGGAGGTGAAGTCTAAGAGAGAGATAAAGAAGCAAGGATCTTGCAGAGGGTGGTGTTTGCTTTTATAGTCCATTGGTGCCTCTGTATATTAGGCAGGAACTCATAGGACCACAGAGCCATACTCCAACCCCGTCATAGCTGAGATGGAGGAGCCTCTGGCAAACCCTGAGGAAAGTTGCAAGGCTGTGGCGTTATGAAAACTTGTCCTTTGGGGAGGAACAAAAGTGGCCTGTAGAAGCGGAGCCCCTGGCCTGTAGGGGTGACATTTGATCATAGCTGAAGAACGAGCCCGTTTCCCCAGAGGTGCCTTGAGAGCTGCTTGTGAAGTCGAGGCTGGGGTTTACCAATAAATAAACCCGGCATCTCAGTTGGGTAATACAGGAACTGAATACTTTGAGCAGCATTCTCGGGGGAGCTATCTCCCTCCTGGCCCTAGATTCCCAGAGGAGGAGAAACAGGTTTTACTAGGGCTAGATGACAAAGAGAAAAAGATCGTGGGAGAATTTTCCCCTTAATACCGTCTTTCCTGAGAAACTAGCCTTCGTACAATCAGAGGACAAACAGATACTTTTGCAGACCCGGAGTTTAAGAAAAAAAAAAAAATTTAGGGTCCTGAACTATTTATAAGAACTGCTGGCAAAGGCACGCTTGCCTTCTCCTTGGGTTTAGTAGTCTCAACCTGAGATAGGTGGCAGCTCCAGCCAGCAGTTACAGAACATTCCTCCTCAGCTGGCTCACTTGCCTGGTCCATGAAGGCTGCCCAGACAACCAAGTCTGTGGCCACAGACTCTTTTGGTTTTTTGTTTTTGTTTCTGAGACAGGCTTTCTCTGTGCTGTACGCTTGGCTGTCCTGGACTCACTTTGTAGACCGGGCTAGCTTTGAACTCAGAGAGATCTACCTGCCTCCGTCTCCTTTAGTGCTAGGATTACAGGTGTGTGCCATCATGCCCGGTTGTGGTCAGTTTCTGACCTGAGGCCCTGGAGCAGAACCTGTGTTTTGTATTCCAGGATGCTTAGTAACCTCTAAGCTTGATACTTCGAGCCCCCAGGGTCCTGGCTGAACTGTCACCTTGCCCCTACTCTCTCCTCTGCAGTCCTCAACTTTATGCTATTTACACTTAAACCAGCCTTTAGTTTCCCTCTGTATCATATCATTTATTTTGTTGCAGATTTCCTTTGAGTTTTGGGGTAAACCCTTGGCTGGAAATTTGGATGTGGGAGAACTAGCCAGTCTCCTGGCATGGAACATGAGCCTACAAACTTGGATTTGAGTTGGCACCATCTCCCTTCCACAACCTTTTCTTGTAGACATTTCCAAAATAAGTGTTTCTATCTAGGGGAGGAATCTACGGCACCATTTTAACCCAAGGAAGAAGTGTTTTGTGGTCTAAGAAGTCAAGGCTCCAATTAAAATGCATTTTAGCCTCTTCTATGTACTAAAAACTGTTGCCTGACACACATATACACACACACACAAATGCGATTCCACCAACCCTGCATCTCTAAGGTGAGTGGACAGTCATGTGTTATACCAGTGGGGAAGCTGAGACTCACAAATACTGTTCAAGATCTCAATGTGGAGGTTCAGAAGAGCGATTGTTGTCTGCGGGTGTTCAGTAAGGACTTCTTGATGAGCTCATTCTTTGAGCTGGGCCTGGGAAGATGGAAAGTTGGACTTGCAGAGATGGTGGTAGCTTTGGGGGTTGTATCTGTATGTGCAGGGCCTTTGATGGTCCTCTGTTTTAGCCACAGGATACTAAGCCATGTTGTGTTCTGTTTGCATGCTGGTGAAGGGTTCCTCAAGCCTCTGCTGAGAGCAGGCTCCCTTTTATCTCTCCTCACAAACCCTGCCACGACCTTCTGTGTGTCCTTCTGACTTAGTCCCCTGATCAGAATCTGACTTAGGAAATGATGAGTAAATGGACAGATGGAGCTTGAGCCTTGGGGGAAGACAAGGAACAAGCAGAAAAGGCTTCATTGGCTTCATGTCCTCCATCCTACCCCTTCTGGGGCAGGAAGGCTCACAAGTGTAATCCAAAGTCAGCACAGGCTTTGATTTCATTGGCTGTGGCCAGTGCACAGATGGGGTACATTAGAGCTGGGTGATTTAAGGAGTTGGGTGAAATGCCTGACTGGGGAGAGAGTGAGGGAACTGAGCGAGGCATTGTACAAAGATTCCTTTCTTCTGCTCCCCAGCCACCCCCAGCATTAAATAATCTATACATTCTTATGCACGTCCGCTTGATGGAAAGACCATTGCCTCCACCCCCTCCTTGGAAAAATGGGCCTTTCTTTTCATGATCCCCCCCTTCCATTTAAGAAAGTTCAAGGAGAGAATGTCCCTCCTGTTCTCTCCTCTTGACTTAATCTCCTGTGTGGTTTCAGAGCCTGCCCAGTAGGAGTTGAGAGCCAGGCAGCAGATAGCCCGGGTGGGCGCAGCAGTGCCATTAAATGAGGCTTTGTGCTTGTAACAGGGTCTTTAGTCAGAAAGCTGGATGGCTGTTTGGGGGGCAGAAAATAAAAAGGGAGTCTGCCTTCATTCTGGAGAGACACAAAAAGGTCCAGAGGACTGAGTGTGTGTCTAGGACGAACAGGGGTCGTCAGGCTCCCTTCCTATCAGCCTGGCTAAGCCACCAGGGAAACTCAGCGCTGTAAAGTCTCAGACACTTGAGTGTGTTGATTCTGGTGGTGGAAAGCTCTGGGCCGGGCCTGCCTCCTTCCCAGCTCACTTTACATACCCAGGAGCTAAGTTGCCAGCAACCAGCTGTCCGACCTCCAAGTCTCTTACTCATAGACTGGGCAAAACGATATTCACTGTGTTTGTGGTGTCTGAAGTCTGTGAGGGCTGGGGTAACAATAGACCGTTAGCAGAGTGGCTCCTGAACAAACAAGTTTTCTTCTCACACGTCTGGAGGCCGGAAAACCCCAGATTTGGAAATTTGGCAAACTCAGTGTCTCAGGGTTTCCTTTCCAGTTCACACATGGCTTCTTGTTGCTGTGTGGCCTTATGTGTGGGAGGGGCAAAATATCTTCCTCTGGCTTATTTGTTCTCTCGTATTTTGCGTATGTGCTTTAAGACAGTCTCCCAGGTATACAGGGCGACTGCTGCCGTGTGTGGCTCATGCTGGCCCTTTTTTTTTAATACCGATAATCTCACTTAGGAGAGCTCTGCCCTCGTGACTGAAGAGCTTCCTAAAGGCCACATGTCCCAATACATCTATTTCAATACGGTTGGGGGGTGGGCGGACATTCAGACCAGGTCAAGCGGCAGGTAACTAGCATTTAGCGTGTGCCTCCATGTTCGGTCTCCACAGCAAAGCATACGTCACTGGGAAGGGAGCAGCCTTACCTCATTGGGTTGCCACACAGCTCAGATGAGGTCGGGGTGGTTTGTAAATGGCAGAGCTCTTTTGTAATATGAAGCTGTTCCATTTCTTCTCTTGGCCTTACCATCCAGAAGGCAAAGCAGACACTAGTTTGGAGGGGATATTCTGCCTAAGAGTCAGGAGTTTCCCATCAAGACCTGGCGCATAGGCATGGGATGTAAGGAAGAGACAGTGGATAGCCCAGTTCTATAGGAGGTAACCCAGCCTTTGGACTGTGGGAGGGGAGAACTTTGAATTGATAATAGAACTATCTAGGGAATGTGCTGAGGCGCCTTGCAATCTCTTTCTTAGAGGGTGTTGTGGTCTACAGGCTGGGGTGTTTTGTCTGCAGAGGTATTTTGAGTTGGCATGAAGAATTGCTCGCACTATTGTTTCTTAGTGTTGCCAACCCCGGCATAAAAAATACACTTTAGTTATAAAATAATAATGGCTCCCCCTCCCATCAGCGAGTCCTCCTGCCTCAACCTCCCAAGTAGCTAAGATTTATAGGCTTGTGCTACCAAGTCTAGCTTCACAAAGCTTTTGTATGGAGGCCTTGCTGTCTTCTTGCCAACCCTCGTCTGAGCAGTAGGGCGTTTGGGAACTTGTGACTTCATTCCAAGACTTGATTTTTATCTGAAGGGCATTGTGGGAGGCTGTTGGGTGGGTGTCCAGGGCAGGTGGAAGGAAGAAATGTTTTGCTCACCACCCAACCGACTTGTTACTGTTTGGTCAGATCCTTGGGTCTGATTATTTTCTGGAGACAGAGGCGCTCCAGAACTGCAGACTGACTAGTTTTGGTGAGGAAACAGGTCTCGGGGTGAGGCAGTGACCAGCCTTAGGTCACACTGCCTCTGAACCAGATATCTCAGTCTCAGCCTGGGCCATGTCCCAGGTGAGGGGCCCTAAGCTGGCTTGCCTTCCGGCTTCCGGCAATCCACCTGAGGCAGGCAACTCGGGAGGCAGGTTTAGCTCCTTGTGGGGCTCCTGGGGCTGGCTGCGGTGGCGTTTAGACTCGCTCTTCCTGCCAAGAGATTAGATGCAGCATTGCTTTGAGAAGAGTCAGGAGGGCAGGGTGTGCTGAAGCCGAACTGATCTAGCGGCTGCCAAAGAGCTAACCTGTTCTCAGTTTCTCACCTGTGTCTTTGAGCCCTCATGTTTGGCACCTGTGGTTCAGGCTTTGCTCGGTGCAGTGGCTTAAATTAGGTTGCAGACACGGTGGGGTGGTAGGGCGGTGGGGCGTTGATGCGGCACTACTGAGATCTGTCCCATCCTGCTGACTGTCCTGTGAAGGCAGAACCGTTCTTC